TAGCACATTTAGAGGCTGTCCCAGAACTATGGACTTTGATCGATTAGGTCTTTGTTTTCATTTTGGCAGGTGGTACTGTCTACATGTTGAGTTTTATGGCCTGAATGGCACTCCCATCATGGGGTCAGTATGCCAATATCTGGGGGCCTACTAAAGGCTAGGGCCCTGCTACAGCTTCTCCCATACCCAGGATTCATGGGTCCAGGAATCAAGGGGCAGAAGTAGGAGTGTTTCCACTCTCTATCACCCCTAGAAACCCACTAGGAAAAGTTTTGGTTCCTGTTCATGAGACCTTAAGTTCTCCTGGCCTAAAAAGTTGGGGTTTAGACAAGGAGCATTCCTGCCAGAAGACAAAACAAGCATTTCATTGAACTGGAAACTCAGACTTCCCCCAGTCCCTTTGGGCTTCTGATGCCATAAAGCCAAAAGGATAAGAAAAGAATAGCAGTGTTAAGAGAGGCTGATAGATCCAGACGACCAGGGTGGACCACATTGCAGGTAAGGAAGATTATGTCTGGACTGTGGGAGATCCTTTAGGCCATCTGTTGATGTTACCATGTCCTGAGATAAAGGACAACATCCCAGTCTGAGCAGGATGACAATGGTCTCAGATCCTTAAAGGATGAAGGTACAGGTCACTCTAGAGAAGAAACTGAGATCTTTTGAGGTACTTGTTGAGGGTGGAAGAAATAGTAGCAGAATGGTTAATAGTGGAAGGTAGTTATAAATACCAGCTACAACCACATGACCAGTTACAGAAACAAGGGTTATAACTGTCTTGAGTGGTTTCGTCTTATTTTGTTAAGAATTTGTATGTATGTGTATATCAGGTATTTGTATTTTCTTCTATTTCCTTTTCTTGTAATATAAAGTAGATTGAAATAAATATCGATGGTTATTATCACATTTAAATCTTGAGACACTGAGACTAAGCATTTCTCAAGGGACATTACCATCTCTTCTAAAATATGTAACACATTTGCACTTGTGCATGAGATGGTTTTATCATATTAGACAGAATTGTGACCTAGTTATTGTTTTCATTTGGAGACTAAACATGACATAAAATGTGACTGTGTGTCAAGGAGACTTGTAATGGCTAATTTTTTGTCAACTTGACTATATCTGGAATCAATTACAACCAAGCAGCTGGGCATACTTGTAAGGGGTTTTCATGATTTGATCATTTGAATTGGGAAGACCCACCCTAATTCTGGACCAAACCTGTGGGTTGATGGCAGCCTACATATAAGGACATGGAAGTAGTTAGCTTTTGCTTTTTGCCTGGCTGCCCTCACTCTTGCTGGCAAGTTCATCTATTTGGTTGCTGAGGTATTCCTTTCCTGGTACTTCTTTAGGATTCCAACATTGACTGACGACTACCCAGACCACAGCCTATAACCCACTCTAGTTAATCCCATATATGTATGTATTCCTATTCATATATATGTGTATATCCAGTCTATCAGTTCTTTTATTTTAGAGAACCCTGATTAATATACAACCTTTAAAAAAGAGAAGCTGTATCACATATGTTTTCAACTCTTCTTTCTTTAAAGCAAATTCTTAAGTAAATCTAGGAGAATATTAATATTTAGCAAATACAAACGGTAGAAATACTGGTATTGTTTTAGTCAGCTTTCTGTTGCTCTTTATCACAGGTACCTAAGATAAACAACTTGAGAGGTATCTTAGTTTGGGTTTTTTATTGCTGTGAAGAGACACCATGGCCATGGCAACTCTTATAAGGAAAACATTTAATTGATGGGCCTTGCTTACAGTGTCAGAGGTTCCGTCCATTATGATCATGAAGAGGAGCATGGCGGCGTGCAGGCAGATGTGGTGCTGGATCTGAGAGTGCTACATCTTGCAGGCAACAGGAAGTCAACTGGCTGTCACCCTGAGGGAAACTTAAGAGACCTCAAAGCCCACCCCCACCGTGACACACTTCCTCCAGCAAGGCCATGTCTCCTAATAGTGCCACTCCCTTTGGGGGCCATTTTCTTTCAAACCACCACATTCCACGCAGCTTGCCTCCACAGACGCTGAGTCTGCCAGCAGCTTGGTCTTAGACTTCCAGGCCTCTAGAACTGTGAGAAATAAAACCTCTTGTTTATAAGCCACTGCTTCATGACGCTTTGTTATTGCAGCTCAAAACCACTACAACATGCACCCTTAGTAATGTTTCCATAAATATGTGGAGAACAAAAGACTCCACTGTCTTCTACAACCGGGGTACCCATTAGAATTACTTGGAGAAATTAAAATCTACTTTGTGCTAAACCCATTCCCAAGATGGGGAACCTATATCTAGTGATGTCTTAAACAGCAGTACTACCTGAATTTCCTTGTTGGTGACAGTCCTGAGAGTCTAATGACAAGAAACCTTAGAGGCTAAAGAGATGGTTCAGTGGTTAAAAGCAAATACTGCTTTTGCAGAGGACCTGAGTTTGGTTCCTAGCACTGATGCTGGGCAGCTCATAACCACCTGTAACTCCAGTTCCAGGGAATCCAATGCCCCAATTCCTTTAGCCTCTGTGCACACGCACATGCCCATGCAAACACACACACACACACACTTAAAAATAAATATCTATAAAAAGAAGTCTCAAGGCAAATCAGCATTCCCTGCCTGTCTGAGGAGAATCAGACAGTAGCCAGCCTCCGACCTTGGCTTCCCCCTCCCTCTTTCCTCACTCACCCTCATGACATGGGAAAGTGCTCAGTGAAGAATGTGGCATAGGCCAGGCTCTGAGGCCAAGCTGGGGAGCGGGTTGTTTTTATAGGATCCACACTTGACAGATTAAAATCTGAAGCTGGAAACTGTTTACAGGCTTCCTGCTGTTTGCAGGGAGTTTTCATTTGCTGAAAGAGCACTGCCCCTTTTCAGAGGCCATGAGGAGGCCACATCAGCACTTGTTACACTAAACAGAGGCATTCCAGGACCCAGGGAGAGGCACATACAGGACCAACTGCTCATTTTCATTTAAACTGTTTCTAAATAATGTCATTAGGTCCACAGTCCCATTTATCTGGAACATGTACACTTCCCTAATACATAAACCATTTCCAAACTGAACTGTCTTTCAGCCAAAGCTATTTCCTGTTACAGATGTTACCTCTACCACACTCCATCACAGACTAGAAACCTGCCACAGTACCACAGCAAATAGGGTCATGTAAGTGTCTGGGAGGCTGAGGTATGCCATCTGGGCCACAGTACTCATGTGATCAAGGACCTACATTGGTCTCAGCTGGGGATTGCTAGGTGTGTGGAGTCTGGAGTCTGCCCCACACCTGCTGGAGTAGATTCTGAATCTTTCCACACATTTCCTTGAGAATATTTAAGCAAAACAAAACAAACAAAAATATCCCTCTGGCCTCAAACTCAATGTGCGCTTGAGTCTCCTGAAGAGTTTTTTAAGGACTGATAATGCTGGAGTTGTTTGTCATTCAGTGGTAGAGCTCTTTGCATAGCATCCCCAAGGTTCTAGGTTTCTTCTGGCATTGAAGACTAAAAGTTGAAAATGCCTATTATCTGCCCTGGGGGACTACGGCTGTACTGTATGAGATGCGGCCTGAATAAGATCTTTACATTGCAGTGTGAGACATATGAAACCCTCATCTACACCTGACCCTTCTTTCTCTACTGAGCACATTGATCCCCCAAATCTACAAAAATGCTGGGCGGGCAAGCTTGCTATTAACACTAGCCATATTGGTGAGCTCTGGATTTAAATGAGAGTCTCTGTCTCAATGAATAAGGTGGGAAGATGGAGGATGGTTCCCACGTAAAACTCCAGCCTCCATACGCCCCACATGCCACACACACACACACACACACACACACACACACACACACAGGAAAAGTAGAACAGAAAGAACATAACATTAACACTAACGGTGATTCTACATGGAAAGCAGAGGAAGCCCTGAGTAGATTAAGTCTTGAGTGACATGGTATTGCCATATCAAGGACTCTAATACTTTAGCCCCATGGGAGTGGCAAAGCCTTTCTCGGGGTCAAAGTGTGAATGTTGACAGTGTTTACAAAATATATCCATGGTCAGTACCCTGAGATACGACAGCTAGAGATTGCTCCTCTATAGAGCTTGCCCTACCAAGATTAGAGAAACCTGCCACCTTGATCCGACTGTATCATAAATGCTGCCTTCTTGAGTCAGCGGTGTGCAATAATGCACCTCCCTGTTCAACTGTATGAAATAAACACACTGAGCATCCAAGGTACTGTGGTTTCTCCATCAGAGTTCAGACCTCCTGATCCCAGCTTTTCCGTGTGCTCATGTGTCTCTTTTCATTCCCCCCAGGGCCAGTGGGGTCAGCTCCTGGAGCCATGCACGGTATGGCTCCAGGAAGGAGAGGAGACACCTTTCATCTGTCTCAGAACCATCAATTGAGTTTTCCTTTGGAACTTCTGGGGAAAACTGAGGAGCGAAATGCAACCGGTGTCTTGACATTTGCAGTCAGAGGAGTAGCATCATGTGGGAAGTGAGCACCAAATTTGGGGTCTGAACATGGATGTAGAACCTTCCATGAACACTGGCCTGGGAACTTTAAACCAGACTTTGATACCGTAATCCATTTCCTGATATCTAATTTCATTACAGGTCCTGGCTAACATTGTGGTTTCAATTAAAAAAAAAAAATGTCCCCCATAAGCTCTGGCACTTGGTGCCCAGGGGGTGGCGCTGTTTGGGGGAGTGGTGCAGCCTTGCTAGACGAAATACTCCACTAGGGGTGACTTTGAGAGTCCACAGCCCCGCCGCAGTTCATTCTCTCTGTCTCTGTGTCTCTGTCTCTCTCTGCTTCTCGTTTGTGGTTGCCGATGTCAGCTCCTGCTGCCATGCCTACCGCGGGCCGCCAAAGCTGCTGCTTGTTGCCACGCCTCGCCACCATTATGAACTTTCTCCTCTGGAACCATAGTTCCAGAGTTGCCTTAGTCACGGTGTCTTACCACAGCAACACAGAAGTAACTAATACAGCGAAGTTTTAACCAAAGCTGCAGGCATAATTAAACATACTCCAGAAGATGCAGTTAAAAGAGCTGCCTCAGGTCTCGGCCACCCTCCAACCTTCAGAGCCCTGGCCCCCGCTCACTGTTATCGCTATAGTCTAACAATAGACTAAGCAACTAACAAAACAGATTCACGCTTTCCCGTGTACTTTGATAATCATTCTCGATTGTTTGTCCCATTAATAGAAAGGACAAAACGACAAGAACTTTGAGAGCGGGAAAACTGGGGCTTAAACTATGCTAGGCCAGGCCAGGTTGCCAGAGTACTACAAATCTGGACACTCAGGTAAGACCCTCAATCTGTGTGTCTGCCCAGTTTAGGCTCCCAGAGGCATCCTTCCAGAGTCACACCTCGTCTCTGGCCGCCGAGCTCAAGGAGTCAGCAACAGTATCTCTACCAGTCCACGTGGTCCCTCCAACCAGGACCCTGCACCCCACGCTGTCCTGGGAAATTTCATAACTCCTGGAAACTGGAACATAGTCACTGTGTGACAAAAATAACCTGATTCCATTGCTGATATCCTTTCAGGTTCCAGCCTCATTCTTGGAAGGTCAGGGATTTAAATCTTTTCCATAGAAACACAGAATGCTAGAACAGGCAGAAATCTTTGAGATGACCTAATCCCAGTGGTTTCCAAGTGTGGCTTCCCATTAGAATGTGCTGGAAGGTTTGTTAAACATCGAAATGTCGGGAGCTTTCTGTGGGAAAACAGACTCCCACAGACCAATGAGACTTGGCCAGTATGTCACAGCCTGACAGTGCTTGCTACTGTTTGGATCTTGAACATTTCCCAAAAGTCTTGTCTCCAGCTTGCTGCTCTTGAAAGGAGGTAGGAACGTAAAGGATGGAGCGTCTTCAGGTCACTGGGGCATGTGCATAAAGAGGAGACTACGGTACTGGTCTCTTCCTCCCTTTTTTTTTTTTAAACTATTTTCAAGGCACAGTCTTTGTCTAACAGCTTTGGCTGGCTTCAAACTCATGGACACCCGCCTGCCTCTGCCTCCCGAGTGCTGGGATTAAAGGTGTGTGCACCACCACCACCCGGTTCTTCCTCCCTCTTTCATTCCTGGCCATGGGGAGAGCAGTTTCCTGTACTATGTACTCCCATCATGATGTGTTATCTCTCTGCAGACCCCAAGTCCTCAATGCCAACCTACCGTGACCTGTAACCTCTAAAACTGTCCAGAGCTTGGCTGTGATCTCTGCATCTGCTTCCATCAGTTACTGGATGAAGGCCTCTGATGACAATTAGGGTAGTCACCAATCTCATCACAGGAGAAGGCCAGTTCAGGGACCCTCTCCACTACTTCTAGAAGACTTAGCTGGGATCATCCTTATGGTACCAGGTTTCTCCCTCACCCCCAAATCTCCCCCCCCATTAAGATATTTCTTTTATTACTCTCCCCCTCCACCCCACCTCCAACTCAGCCATCCCAATACTTCATGTTCTCACCCCCCATACTCTCCCCCCGTACCCCAGGTTACCCAGGAGATCTCATCTATTTCACCTTCCCAGGGATATCCAAGCATCTCTCTTAGGATCCTCCTTGTCACCTGGCTTCTCTGGGGCTATGGATTGTAGCCTGGTTATCATTTGCTTTACATCTACTATCCAAGGATAAGTCTCTTTTTTTTAAGCTGGATATCAGGTTTCTGTGGGCAGATGACAGCGACTCACAGTTTTCTAAATAGTCCCACCTGATCTGGTCAGTCCTGAAAGGTCAATGAAGGCCTTCCCAGGGAAAGGGAGAACTCTGTGCTCTCTCAGCACAGCTTTTGTTGGGTTCCTAGGGTGCCTCAAAGTGCCACAAGCGGACCGAAACAAATGGTCTTCTTGTCTCACAGCTCTGTCAACTAAAAGGCCAAGACTAAGGTGATAGGCAGAAGGTTAGCTCTGGGACTGACCACCAAGCCCCCCACAGCCAGACAAAAGGAGCAGCATGTGGTGGTAGTCACTCCAGCTGAGCTGTAGATAGTGTTGTCGTCTACAAAGAAGTAAAGAAAACGATGGTGGTCAAGATACATAGATAGCAAGTGGTGATGGCAACCCCAGATCTCAGGGCCTGGAACAGGAAGTCAGAGACAGTGGCCAAGAGTGGGCAATGGCAGGCAGATGGGATTAAAACAGTTTCAAGACGTCCTCGGCTGGGGGGTACACACAAAAGTACTGTTACCCTTCCCCCAGTGAACTTTTCAACTTCACATTTACAGCTACTTGAGCTGAATTGTGGGTAAAATGGGGTTCTTCGAAGAAAAAAACCCTTTCCTTGAAAGTGCCCACCTTGGAGGTGGCACAAGGGAGGGGACAACAGAAAGAATAAAAATGTAACTTTATTCCTAAGATGAAGTCCCCCTACTTCTAGGCTCTTTTTTTTAATAGTGTATCCTCCTGTGCTTACTCTAACCAAACTCTTGACTACTTGCTCTATTGCCCTGTCAAGAATTGTACTAAGGTCAAGACCAGAGAAAACTGAAGCCACCATAACATAGGCACCTGCAAGCTTAGGTCCTCCTCGACTCTCTGCATTGTCTGTATGTCTCCACATGGTTGTGCATGTGAGCTTGCGTGCATGCGTGCTCGAGCTCTGGGACCTCATGTTGACTTAATTACCATTTGAAAGACTCCCATCACCAAAGTCAGTCACACCTTGAGGTAATAGTGACTTTAACAGCAGCCCTTAACATGCTCCCTTCTCCAAGCAAAGTAGTCAATACTCCATATAAAGTGAAATCAAGATGTACAGAAACAGAAACTAAACTATCAACTTCAACATTTGTCAGGCATTACAAATGTTGGATACAAAAAAAAAAAATGTTGGATACACAAAACCTGTAATCTCATCACTCAGCCTGGATGGGAGATGGATGGATGGATGGATGGATGGATGGATGGATGGATGGATGGATGGATGAAGAGAAAAAAAGAGGGAGGGAGAAAGGGAAGGAAAGGGGGAGAAGAGAAATAAAAAATGATTTCAAGGGTATTTTTAAAGCTAAGTACTTAAAATATTGTTCTCAAATTTATTATTGCAAAAGTTGTAATTCATAAATACTTGGGCTTTATTTTTAAAAGAAAGCTCAAACAATTTATAGAGCAATACATGAAAAAAATCAGGATAAAATACTGCCTTTTGGTGCAGTAGAGTTGAAACAACAATTCTCTGATGTTCCCCTGGACACAACATCCTTCTACCTTACTTGGGTCGTATGAAGGCAGGATGCTAGAGGTCAAAGGTTACATGGTCTGGAAATCATAGTAAGTTTATTAGCAAAATAAACTCAGAAATAATAATGTGAGTGAAGGCCAGAGTGTTTTCATTGTCTCAAATTCCTAGAAAAGCAATGAAATTGACAAGCCAAGCAGTCTTTGCGCCAACCAAAGAACATTTTCTTTTATCGGGGAGGGAGAGGTCTAAAGATGACTGCCAACACAAACTTCTGTTTTTCATCTTCTGAATAGTTTAGGACATCGTTGTTACCTCTGACCCAGGAACGAGTTTTTAAAAGTACTGGATTCTCTTCACACAAAATTAATAGTGGATTTTCAAATCCTTCCTAATTCCTTTCTTATCACCCTCAATCCACTCCCATCTGCCCATTGGTACAAACAATTGTTATCATGCTCTGTATGATGCTGGGGAAATCAGTTTAACTCACTGGGCCTCTTTTCAAAACTGAAAACAACAACAAAAAGACAGGGCCTCATATCCCAGGCTGGCTTTGAACTCCCTATGTAGTCGAAGATGACCTTGAACTTCTGATCCTCCTGCCTTCAGAGTATTGGGATTATAGGCCTGCGTCACAACACCAGATTTATGTCACAATGGGGATCAAACCCAAGCCTCATGCTTGCAGATAAAGAACTCTGACAACCAAGCAATCTCCCCGCAGCAGCCAGGGACCTTCATTTTCTGAGGTGTTAGAGTACCTAGTAGGCTCTAGAATCACTTGGCAATGACCGCTGTACCCACCCTTTTTAAGGAATAACATATGTGACCTTAAAGAAAACATATTTAAACTTCAGTTGCCTGACACATAAAAAAGAAGGAAGATGGGGAAGCCAGAAGGGAATGAGTCAGTTTTTCCTTATATAAGCATTGCTACTTCAGAAGGGGATAGGTAATCCACAGGGGACACATGAAGATGGGGTCCTCACACACAGACCTTCTGGAAAAAATTCAGGTTTACTTCTTTCTTCCAGTATGACCTTCATAATTAGCAACACAGTAACATCGCTGACCCTCAGGGTTGTTTTTTATCTGCAAAGAGAAGTTGGAAGAGATAGTGTCTGTTTTCTATGGGATTGCTTCAGCCAAGCAGCTGTACTGTTAATCGATAAGAAAGTGTTTCAAAGAAGTCCCATCCGATTTTAATTAGATTCCATTTTGGACATCTTTGTAAATGCTCTGATGATACATACTAAGAGATACTGAAAACACGTATATTGAAGCCATATGGTAACAGACACAGGACAGATGCACTGAAATAGAATTGAGCCAATAGCTGGTAGAAGTTTGAAATACTGAACAAGAAGTTAAAGGTTACTGGGAACCAGAAAAGGAAGAGTATTTTCACTGGAAATTAGTTGTTAGAGGAAAGATCATAACAGGAAACAGACATTCCAAACGTGGCCAAAATTTAAAAAGGAAATATGAAAATAGACACCAAGAGTGAAATAAAAGAAATGGTTGGGACTCAGCCACGGGGTATAGAGAGGGAAGAAGAAGGTAAAGCCTAGAGCACACGACAAGTCCCATCCATGCTTGGGTCCTTATTTTTCAGGACAGTGTTGAGCAGAAAGCACAGACTTATCATACATTAGTGGTGGACCTTTGATGAACCTGACACAATGTCACCCAAAGTCCATACTCTATCTACACTTAGGCTTATTGTTGCTTTTGTACATCCTTCTGGTTTCCAGAAGTATCTAATGGCATGAATCCACCATTGTGACATCCTACAGAGTAGTTCCACAAACCTAGAAGTCCTCTGCACCACTCATTATCCTCCCTCCCCCTAATCCTGTTGCTGTCTTTGTAGTTCTGCTTGTCCTGAATGTTGGAGTTGGGACCATTTGGTGTATGGCACCTTCAGATCAGCTTCTTTCACTTACTTGTATGTATTCAAGGTTCTTCTATATCTTTCCATGGCTTGAGAGTTCAATGCTTTTTTGTCATGAGACGTCCTCCATTGTCTATATATTTCAGTTGATTTATTCAACCAGCTACTAAAAGACATCTTGCTTGCTTTTGAGCTTTATCAATTGTAAAAAAGAATTTATTTGCACATCTTTGTGAGGACATAAAATTTCAATTGATTTGATTAAATACCAAAAAGCATGATTTCTAGGTCATATGATAAATGTTATATTTAGTTTTGTAAGGTAAAAAGGTATCTTTATCATTAGCCATTCTACTATCAATGAATAAGAGATTTCCTGTTGTTCTATGTCCTTGTGTTTGATGGTGACAGGGTTTGAGCCATTCTAGCAGATGTGCAGTGGCTTTAATATTCAGCCTCCTAATAAAATTATGATGCAGAACATTTTCATATGTTTATCTGTCATATATACTGTCATATATATCATATACACATATATTCATTCTTTGGCAAGGTGTTTGTTCAGATATTTTCCTTTCTTTAATTTCCTAGAATTTATTTTTGCTTTTTTATTTTAAATTTTCTGAGAATCTCATATGTGACTACTGTATTTACCTCTGTACCAAATCCATTTAGTGTTGTTAGCATGTGTATGCATTTAGGACTGACCACTTAAGATTGGATAACCTATCATGGAGTTTGTCCCTGGAGAAAATGGAATCTTCCTCTCTCAGTAGCCATTGATTGCCTGTAGCTCTTGATCTAGACATAGGAGCCTCATGGCATTTTCGCAGTCCATGTCATCATGTCAACTACTGTATTTGTCCTGCAGGTCTTGTTAAGGCAATCTTATTTTTGATATTTTATGGTTGCAACTTACCTGTCATGTCTAGAAGACATTATCTAGCAGATGTCTTGCTCATAAAATCTTCTCCCCTCTTCTAAGACGTTGCTGAGCCTTAGATGTAGGGGATGTACACATCAACTTGGCCTGGACACCCCACAACTATTTATTCTCTGCATCTTGCCAGTTGTGACTCTCTGTAACATCCTGTTTGCTGTAAAAATAAGCTTCTTTGATGAGAGGTGAGAACTATCCCTAGAAAAATATTTAGAGTACAATTAGAGATCTTAGTTTCGAAATGGCAGCAGTAGGTTATCCTCTAGAGTCTATGACCTCTACAGCCACAGGTAGTTGGCTAGTTTTACAATACCAGGCATGAACTTCTACAAATAAGTGGTCTTAAGTTCAGGCAGTTAGCTGTTGGGTACACTACAAGGTAAAAGTGCCACCATCGCACCATGGGGGGATATCCTCCCAGGCTAATCATTGTTGTAGTTCACAGGCTTTACTGCTGAGTTGGATCACTGACTGCTTTTTCCCTTGGTGGTTTGCATAGCACCTTCCAATACTATGAGAGCTTGTTCCCCAGGCAAGAGGTTTCCAGGTCAGTTCCAGATATGAATAGAGAAACATCAGAATTAAATGATATTCATCAAAAGGACCTGCCAAATAGTTATCGAATATTACATCAAAAAAGAAAGCATATACATTCCACTCAAAAGCCCATAGACATTTCTCTAAAATAGACCACATACTAGCATTCAAAACAAATCTTAACAAATTCAGAAAAACTGAAATAACGTCAGTGTTTATCCTATCTGGTAACAGTGGAATAGAGCTTAAAATCAACAGCAAAAGAATCTCTAGCAATTACACAAACTCATGATGATTAAACAGCACATTAACTGAATAGTGAGTGAGTCAAAGAAAAGAAAATCAAGAGAAAAAATTTTAAATGAAAATAAAAACACAACACACACAAAAAATGTTGAAAGCAGTTCTAAGAGGGGGAATTGAAACTTCAAGTGCCTACATTAACAAAATCAAAAAGAGCACAAAAAATGACTTATGATGAAACTCAAGAAAAACAAGGACAAACCAAACCTAAATCCAGTAGTTGAGAAGAAATAATGAAAATCAGAACATAAATTGATGAAAAGAAAACTAAGAAAACAATATATCTTAGAGTTTCTATTGCTGTGAAGAGGCACCATGACCACAGCAACTCTTATAAAGGAAAGCATTCGATTAGGGCTGGCTTACAGTGCAGAGGTTTAGTTCACTGTCATCATGGCAGGAATATGGCAGCACAGCAGGCAGACATGGTGCTGGAGAGGAAGCTGAGAGTTCTATATTCCAGATTGGCAGGCAGCAGGAAGAGAGCGCAACACTGGGCCTGACTTGAGCATCTGAAACAACAAAGCCCACACCCAGACACACAATGCCTCCAACAAAACCAAACCTAATCCAACAAGGTCATGCCTCCTAATAGTGCCACTCCCTGTGAGGCAATGACGTTCATTTTCCATTCAAATCACCACAGAATAAAAAGAACCAACAGCCATAAAAGCTAGTTCTTTGAAATGATAAACAAGATTGGCATAACCTTAGTAAAAGAAAGAGAAAACGCAAATTAACTGGGTCAAAGATAAATAGGGAAACATTACAACCTATACCAAAAACATTTAGGACATTACAAGGATCACTTTAAAACACCTATTCTCTAGGAGAAAAAATATGATCAAAATATACGTCTATAAAAAATGAATTTAAAAACCCATAATATTCTATTAAGTTAGAGTACCTAAATGACATGGATGAAATTTAGACTCATGGAACCACCGAAATTAAGTCAAGAAGAGACAACTTAAACAGACCCATAACAAATGAGATTGAAATAGTAATAAAATGCCTTGTAACTTTAAAAAAGCCCAGGTCCAGAGGTATTCACAGCAGAATTCCACCAGATGTTCAAGGAAGAACTACAACCAATTACTTCTTCAAGTATTCAAAAGACAAAAACCGAAGGAGCACTCCCAAATTCTATACAAAGCTCTAATACCCAAACTAGTTGGAGGTACATCAGGGAAAAAAATCTACAGATCAATGTCCCTGATGAACATAGATGCAAAAAATAAATCTCAATAAGATACTTGCAGACTGTAAAAGGAGACATATCAAAAATCATCAACCACACTCAATCTGGCTTTATCGATGGTTCAACACACGTACATCAATAAGCATAATCAATTGTTTAAGTGAGCTTAAAGATAGACACCACATGATCATCTCAATAGATGCAGAAAAGGCCTTTGACAAAATCCAACACCCTGTCATGATAAAAGTCCTAGAGAGAACAGGACTGGAAAGACTGTACCTCAGCATAATACAGGTTATATATGACAAACCCACGCCAACATCATTATCTAAGCAGAGAAAAACTTGGCACAATCCCATAAAATCAAAAGGAAAACATGGCTGTCCACTCTTCCTGCTCCTTTTCAGTAGTTCTTGAGTGTTTAGCTTGAGTAGTAAAACCAGAGAAGGAAGTTAATGGGATACAAACAGAAGAGAAGTCACATTATCCCTTTTTGCAATGATGATATTATACGTAAGAGATCCCAGAAATTCCATCAGAAAGCTTCTAAAAATAATCAGCACTTTCAGCAAAGTGTCAGACTACTAAATCCATTTTTCTTATTGTTTTACAAGATTGTCTTAGGGTTTCTATTGCTTCGACGAAACACCATGACCAAAGAGTAAGTTGGGGAGGAAAGAGTTTATTTGGCATATACTTCAGCATTGCTGTTCATTACTGAAGGAAGTCAGGACAGGAACTCAAACAGGGCAGGACCCTGGAGGCAGGAGCTGATGCAGAAGCCATGGAGGGGTGCTGCTTTCTGGCTTGCTTCCCCTTGCTTGCTCAACCCACCTTCTTATAGAATCCAGGACCAGCAAGCCCAGGGATGGCCCTCCCCGACTGATCACTAACTTACAGCTGGATCTCAAGGAGGTATTTCCTCAACTGAGGCGTCTTCCTCTGATGACTCTATAGCTCGTGTCAAGTTGACTCACAAAACCACCTAGTACAGAGATAACATCTTTGTCAGAAGTCTCTTTTACAAATATTTTCTCTTGGCCTGCAGTTTTCTTGCTCATGCTTTTAAAGTACACAATCTCTGGTTAGAATAAATAATGCTGATCTTAAAGCAGACAAAAATCATAAAGATATCCCTTTAAGGGAGTTTTGGGCAAGAAAGAGGGGAAGGTGGTGTAGTATGACAAATAAAAAATCCAGAGACAGATATTGGTATTCAAGCTTCAAGCTGAAGATAGAGAAACAAAGCATCCAAGCCAGTAGATCTAACCTCTACCCAGCTGAAATGGCAATCCCATCTCCATAAGTCCTCAGAGGCAAAAGCTCTCAGATCTTATTTCCTCCTCCTTATAGTTCTTTCTCCACCCAGCCATAAAACTCCTGTCTCCACCTCCCTAGTGCTAGGATTAAAGGCATGTGATCCCATGTGCTGGGATAAAAAGTGTGAGTTCTGTTACTCTTTTAGACTGATTCAATCTCATGTAGCCTTGGGTGGCCTTGAACTCAGAGAGATCCATCTGCCTTTGTCTCCTGAGTTCTGAGATTAAAGGTGTGTGCCATCACTACCTGACTTGGCTTTCTGAATCCTCGTGCAAGCTTTAATAAATCATAAATAATATATCACCACAAGGTGGTGCATTGTACCATCAGTCTATATGGTCATGTTCTGTTTAACTTACCCACAATGCAGATAAATGCATATAGTGATGTCTCAGGGGGGTGGCTGACAATGTCAATACCACTTGTTATGGCTTGTCACCGTTCTCTCTGTCCTCTTCACAGTTCATCTGAAACATCACCAAATTTGACTGGCACCTCTTCCAGGAAGACACACTTTTGTGCACTCCACTCTACTCATCAAAAGACTTTCTGTGGATTCTGACGCCTGAGCACTGGCCTTAGCCTACCTGGGGGCAAACGTTCTGAGGAGCAGGAGCTGCCAGCCTTGGTCGTTACTGTATCCTGAAGACTAGCACAGCGTCTGGCATGTGACCAACTCTCACCAAACATTAGCTGCGTCTATGTGGGAATCAAGTACTGGGAGGTGATACAGAGCCCATTATATTGTATTGCTAGGGCAGCACTTAGAAAGTACCACAAACTGAACAGCTTAAACCACGGAAACTGTGGTGTCATGGTTCTGGGGGCTGTGTCTAAATTCAAAGTCTCTAGAAAGGGCCTCTTTCCCACTGGGTATACTGAATAAAGCACCCACTGAAATTACCTTTTTTTTTTTTTTGAGACAGAGTCTTACTGTGTAGCCCTGGCTGGTCTGGATCTCACAGAAAACCACTGCTTCTGTCTCCCAAGTGGTAGAAATAGAAGTGTGCACCGTTACATCCAGCACTAACCCTACTTTAACTGATAACCCCTGTAAAGACCCCAACACAGAACCCAGAAAAGTGCTGCAATTGTGACTACTTTTTGTTTGTTTGTTTTGTTTTTCAAGACAGGGTTTTTCTGCGTAGCTCTGGCTATCCTGGAAGTTGCTCTGTAGACCAGGCTGGCCTCGAACACACAGAAATCTGTCTGCCTCTGCCTCCCAAGTGCTGGTATTAAAGGTGTGTGCCAACAGTGCCTGTCTTATATATTTTTATGCAAAGGAGAAAAATCACATTTAGACCAATGATGAATATGCTGCTTCAAGCAGGATCTAGAATGTTCAAGACTTAAAAGTGCCATGTCCTGCCGGGCAATGGTGGCGCACGCCTTTAATCCCAGCACTCGGGAGGCAGAGGCAGGCGGATCTCTGTGAGTTCGAGGCCGGGCTGGACCAACAGCCTCCAAAACAATACAGAGAAACCCTGTCTTGTAAAACCAAAAAAAAAAAAAAAGTTCCATGTCCTCCTCTAGACTTTGCATCTCAGGGAAACATCTACCTCCCATAAGCTCTCGGGAGGACTCTCAGTGGTCAGTTTTCATGTGGTTTAAAGAGTCTCTGAACCCTTGTCCTGGGACTGTCATGGCATCAGACAAGGCCAACATCAGGCAAGAGAAAGAAGGCTAGCTCTAACACTGCATCCACACTCAGAAAACCCAGAGAGAAAGGAAGTGGGGCTGGCTCCCAGGGACTCCTTTCCTCCAGCAAGGCTCTACCTCCCAAAAGTTCCACAATCTGCCAGGTGGTGGCGCACAGGAGGCAGAAGTAGGTGGATCTCTGAGTTTAAACCCAGCCTGGTCTACAGAGTGAGTTCCAGGACAGCCAGTGCTACACAGTAAGATCCTGTCTTGAAAAAAACAAACAAAAACAAGTTCCACAACCCTTTCAACAGCACCTCCAGCTGAGGGACGTTGTTCAAATATATGATCCTATGGGGGATATTTCACATTTCAATGCAACCATGTTGAAAACACAACACTTGGATCTAAGTTTGTTTATTGTGCATGTGTCTGGCTGTGTGTATGTTTGTGGAGGGAGGGTATTCAAGATGGAATTTCTCTGCTTAGCCCTGGCTGTCTTGAAATACAGTCTGTAGACCAGACTAAACTTCACAGGATTTAGACTCACCTAGGAAGAGCGAGAGACATGTGGTTAAGGCTCCACAGACAGATCTGACTCTGATGGCAAGGGAATGAAGAAAAAGACAGACAGATGATACATGGACAGAAAACTGGGATCAGGGAGACTGACCTCTGTGGTGGAGAAACCGCAGCTCCTGGGAGCTCGGCGTGCGACAGACTTATTTACTTTCATTTTGTGTGCATTGGTGTTTTGCCTGCATTTATGTCTGTATGGGGGTGTCAAATCACTTGGAACTGGATTACAGACAGTGAGCTACCATTAGGGTGCTGGGAATTGAACCTGGGTGCTCTGTTTGAGCAGACTATGTTCTTAACCACTGAGCCATCTTTCCAGCCTTGCAACATCTCTTTTAAGGGTAAAAACCCCCAAAATCCAAAAACTTCCCACTAGGCCTGCATCCTAAATGTTCTACAACCTCCCAATAGTGTCAAGCTGAAAACTAATTCTCTACCACATGAGACTTGTGAGTATTTCAGATCTAAAATGAGTTCAGGTATAAGGTCATGAGTGCCAAACATGGACAGTAGCAGTAAAAATAAAGAACAGAGTTGCAGGGATGTTTGGGAAATAAACAGAAAAAGATGCTATGACTAATTAACTTTAGTAGCAGTGCCTTCAACCATTTCTGGACCCCCAGGAAATTCCCTGGTGCGGTCCTCCAGCCCAAACTCTTCCTTTCCATACATCTCCTGGAAAGAAAATGCATCCACCTCCTGATGAACTCTTGCAGGCCCTCCAGGCTCATACAAAACAATAGGATGAGCCCAGGTTGCTTCATAAATGTAAACACGTCCTAAATGAGAGATGTGTGCATTTCATCAACTGTGACTTCCTGGTACAAAATAAGTTCAATCAAAAGCAGAGCTAACAGTGGAGATGGGCACTTGTGCAGCTAACACTGATTTTTTTTTTAACTTCTAATACTCAGCAACCCCAATTACCAGCAAGTTACATGATGGGAGTAGAAACCCATCTCATTAAAGTGCACTAGATGCCATCTAAACTAGTGTTCAAAAATCGTATGGAGTTGGAATCATGTGCTATACATGTACAGCACACACGTGCAATGTGGCCTCTCATCTGCCTCTGTGGTTTGGCATGTGTGGTCAAGAGATAGGAATCTCCAAGCTTTCTTCCACCAGTCACTTCTGATACAATAGATCTCTCATCATAGCCCCAGAATAAAAGCAAAGGACCCTTACTGGGGCCATCATTCAATCTGCTCTTCACTGTCACAACGCAAGAAACACATGATCACATCAAGGCAGCTCTTTCGCGGGCGAAGTGTTCAGTACAACCATTACACATCTGCCAAGTCTGACTCCTTGAACTGGGACACATGTTGTTCTGGATGGTGGGATTTGAAGGGAAGGAACAGATGCTTTCCACTCATATACGCTAACAATGTTATCTGAAAATGCAGGAAGGCAGGTGACTGCTAAAATAGACACTGACTTGAAATTACCAACAAAAGCATAAAATCAAAAAGGCAGTGATTCTTGGGCGTCTTGCTCACTGTGCACCCTAAAAATACCACAAAATAAAGACTTGAAAACGTATCTTCTCAGCCCACAGGCTTCTGTTATGCTTCTTTAGGACACAACAGCAGCAATGCTACAGGAAGCAGAGGCAGCTCTAGGTAGCAGCACAAGCCTGGATGGGGTGGCGGTTCAGAGCTTCCTTAGTAGAAGGATGTCTTTCCATTTCACTTAAACCATCATGAAAAAGAGGGAAATAAAGGTGTTAGGGCCTGAATATGATATTTCAGATATAGGCCTCAGCTTAATTCCAGGAGCTCGAATCTCCTATTACCTTTTAGATGTCGGCTGGTTATCTCCAGATGGCCTGGCCACAGTGGAGAATGGCTTCTAGTTTGTGTAACAATAGACCAAGGCCCCAAACCCATCATGAGGGCTAGTGGGATGTGTCTGAAGCCTGTTGAGACATGTCATTACAGAGAGTCTGAGGGTTTGGGTACGTGCATTCTAGGACAATCTCTAGGGTTAAAGGAAGTGTTTCCTAGTCAACTCTATATACATGACAATAGATGTCTTCTGCCAGGACCACCCCCCCTCTTGAAAAGCTATTTAAGAGGATAGGATGCTTGAATAAACTGTGGTGTCCAGATTGACTGAGAGACCTCCTGAAATGACAAGATGTCTCTGTCTCATCCTTAACACCACTGGGTAGCTACTTTCCTGATCCACACTCCCCCACTCAGGGTCGGACCGGGGGCTGTTCAGCTGGTTCTGAACACAGCCCTAAAGACATCAGTCCGGAATAGATGGCCAGACCCCAGCAGAAGGGACTGGACATTAGTAAAGCAAATGTAGGGGACAGAGTAGCTAGAGAGAAGGAGAAAACTGCAGACAGAGTAACTGAAAGCAAGGCTGAAAATAATCCACAGGTGGACAGTGGGACTCAAAGCTGTGATGTAGAAAAGCCAGCTTTGTTTGTTCTGATATGGAAACATTAGTTTCAAATGAAGGGGCTGAAAGAATTCTACAGTACTATTCTGTGCAGGTGATGCTCTCATTGGAGTTAACTAGTTCTAAACACCAAACAGTTGTGAAGCTTTGGGATTATGAAAACTCATCCATTCACCTTGAAGGGAATATATAGATGGGTTGATATGATATCTACAACCTTTCCCCTCCTCTGCTAAAGAGCCTTCATCCTGCCATCTCCCTCATCCAAGGGACCCAGACTCAACCCACTTCGGGAGTACTCATCATTCCCTGTGCACAGCATATCTCCATATGTTGAACCTCCCTGTCCTCCCAAGTTTATGTATGTACCTGTCATAAGGTCTCAACTACCCTCCTAGTCACATGTGTGCTTGGGTTTTGCTTATCCTTTCAGCACCAGCTCTCAGGATTACTCAAAAATTTTCTTGGGAATATTAGAGACAAAACACCATAAGAGAAAATATGCAGAGTTCAAAGAAACTAAACACATACAAGCTTCCAAATTCCAAGAGAAATAGAATTTATTTTCAACAATACAGACTAACATCTTAGTTTCACTCCTTAAAATATTAAAGGATATTTTGAACTATAGGAAAATTAGGTACAACTTTGAATCTTGCATAAGCTGATGAGTTTGAGATCATATCAGAGCCATGCTATAATATTTGCTTGGCTGGAGTTACTAGACTAAAGGGACACGAAGTAAGTACTACAGGAAACCATGCATACAATTTATTTAGCCTCATTGCTAGCATTAATAGTCAAATGAAGGGCTGGGGAGATGGCTCAGAGGTTAAGAGCACCGGCTGCTCTTCCAGGGGTCTTGAGTTCAATTCCCAGCATCTACACGGTGGCTCACAACCATCTGTAGTAAGATCTGGTGCCCTCTTCTGGCCCGCAGGCATACATGTTGACAGAACACTGTATACATAATAAATAAATATGCATTTTTAAAAATAGTCAAATGGAGAGTGGGTGCTGATGGTTGAGCACATCTCTAGTAGTAATCAAAACAATGACTATTGCTCCAGTTTGGGTCTTGAATATCCATTTGTTAAAGGCTTCATCTTCGGTATAGTATTATTGAGATACAGTGGAAGCTTTATGAGATGAAGTATAGTGGATGGTCTTTAGGTCTTGGGGTTGTAAGCTCGAACAAGGTAGGGGGAGACATTGTATTCATCCCCTTCCCATTTGTGGTTTCCTGCAATGAGGTGGACAATTTTGCTCTG